AAAAACTTAAAATAAAAGTATTATAATATAGCTATTAAGATTATAAAATATAGCTTAAAATAAATAACTTATTATTTTAGAAGATTTATAATCTTAATAAAAAAGAACTTATTACTTTAAGAGATTATTTAAATATAAAATTAATAAAAAGAAATATTAAGATATTTAACTTATTAATAAGATTTTTAATAATATTTATTTTTAAAAAAAATAAGAAATTATAATTTATTATAAATTATAAGAGGTTAAATGCCTTTATAATTAAAAATAAGACCTTACTTTTACTTATTATAAAACTTAAAAACTACTTATAAAGTAAATAGATCTTTATTACTTTAGACCTTAAGGGAGCTTATAACTTAATTTATATTAGAGAAGGAGATAAATAAAAGATTATATTTAAAACTAAGTTTAAACTCTTTAAGTATTTAGTAATATTATTTAGATTTACTAATATATTTATAATATTTTAATAAATAATTAATAATATATTTTAATAATACTTAAATATCTTTATAATATATTACCTAAATAATATCTTAATTTTCTTAAATAATAAAAAAGAATATAAAAAATATATTTAAAAGGTTTTAAAAGCCTTATAAGAAATAAACTTATTAATTAAATTAAAGAAAAGTTACTTTTATATAAAAGAAGTAAATTTCTTAAGATATATTAATATATTTAATAAAATTAAAATAAAATAAAAGAAAATCTTAATAATAGTAAATTAGCCTTTATTAATAATAATTAAAGAAGTTTAAAGTTTTTTAAGATTTATTAATTATTTTTAAAGATTTATTAAAGACTTTAATAAAATTATAAACTTACTTATAAAACTTATAAAGAAAGATAAGAAATTTATATAAAAGCTAGATATATAAATAATACTTAAAGTATTATAATAAGCTATTTTTAATAAACTTATATTAATTATATTTTATTTCTATAAACTATATAAGGCAGAATTAAATTATCTTATTTATAATAAAGAATTCCTAATAATTATTAACTACTTTAAGGAGTTTAGATATTACCTTATAAAAAGTATATATTAAATTAAAGTTTATATTAATTATTAGAATATTTTATATTTTATTATAATATAAGAACTTAATTAATAATAGTTATATTATGCTAAATACCTATATAAGTTTAATTTTATAATTATTTATTATAAAGGTTTAGACAATAAATAAGCTAATACTATTAGCTAATAATTAAATTATAATATTAATATAATAAAAGTAAAAGAATAACTTTTAAGAAAAAATAATAAGGGAGAATATTAATTTACTTAATAAGTAGAAATTCTAAGACTTATAAGTAATAATAAGCTTAAAAACTAAAAAGATTAAATAAAAAAAATTTAAAATACTATTATAAGATATAATATTTAAGATTTTATTAAAAGTAAAGTAAAATACTTACTTATAATAATAAATTATAAGTATTTAAATAATTTAGAAAAAAACTAATATAAGATATATATAAATATCCCTTATATAGTTATTAATATATTATAAAAACCCTAAAATATATCTAGATATATTATAATTAAAAAGGAATTAGGAAAATAATAAAAAAGGTTATTAAATAATATAACTTATATATAAAAACTAAAGCATAATAATATAAACTATATAATTTACTATAATTACTAGAAGTAGTAAAAAGATTATAAAGTTTAATTATAATAAACTATATAATTAAGCTACCTTTATTAAAAGAACCCTTAACTAGAATCTTTTATAATAGTATTTTATTTATAATAAATTAACTTATTAAATTCTCTTATTATATACCTTATAAGGAAGATATAAATATAAAATAACTTTTTTATATTTTCTATAATAAGATAGTTAGAGAATATAAATTACTATATAAAATCCTAATAAATAAAGAAATAATATTTATAAGTAAGTTTTAATAGGCATTAATATTATATATAAAACTAAATTACTAATTCTTAATAATATTTAAACTATAAATAAATAAATAAATTAAATAAATAAACTAAGTATTAAAATAATATTTATAATATTATATTAACTATAAATAAAATAATTAGATAGAAAAGTTACTAAATGCCTAACTTATATATAATATAATATATAATATAATATATAATAAAAGTATATAAATAATACCCTTAAAAGCAAACTTTAGATTTACCTTAAATCTATATTATATAATATAAGAATTAAAAATAATTAACCTAGCTATTATAATTAAAATTAAAGATTTAAAAACTCTATATAAGGAATTAAAAAAAGAATTAAAGTTTATTAAAGAATAAATAAAAAAATACTATAATAATAAAAGGATTAAGAGACTAACCTTTTTAAAAGAAGATATAATCTACCTAGCTATAAAAATATTATAATAAAATAGTTAAGTTATAAATTAGACTATAAGTATATTAGGCTATATAAAGTTAAAAGAAAAATCTTAAAAAATAATTATAAACTAAACCTATTATTAAAAGTTAGGCTTTACCTAGTCTTTTATATTATATTACTTAAATTAGTAATTAATATAATATAGGTTAAAATTAGTAATAAATTAAAAAAAATTAAAAAACTAAAAACTTATAAAGTAAAAGTAATTAAGAAAATATATAAGGAAAATAGCAAAAAGAATATTTAATTAAATAAAAAATTACTTAAAAAATAAAAATATATAAAAACTAGCTAAATACCTTATTAATACCTAATAACTCTTAAGGAATTTTTATTAATATTAATAAAAAAAACCTTACCTTAATTAATAATATTAATAGCTCTTAATAATTAAGCCTTAATAATAATAAAAGACTTTATATTATTTAAAACCTTAAGATTATTTATAGTTTTAATATTATAATAAAGTATCTTATTATTATATTCTTATATCTATTACTTTTAATAATAAAGATATATTAAATAACTTAAATACTTATTTATTTATTATTATAATTATAATAATTTAGTTTTAGCTACCTCTTTTTTATATTTTAAATAATACTTTTTTATAATAAAATAATTAGCTATAAAAAAATTAAACTTAATATATAAAAGAAAAAATAGAAAATAAGTAATAAACCTTTAAGAATTAAAATATCCTTATTATTATACTAATAACTATATTAAGTATATTATATATACTTAAAATAGCCTTCCTTAGCTTAATATTTTAAACCTTAAGGTTTATAATAACTATATAATATATTAAAAAAACTAGTATTCTTAATTAAAATAGCTTATACTTAATAATTATAAGTAGCTTTAAACTTTAATATAGTATTAGTAACTTATATAGATAATTATAAGTCTAAGTTAGTATATATTAAGATAATATAGAAAAAAGGGCAGATATATAGGTCTTAAGGATAAGACTAATAAAGAGAGGGAGATTATATTATAACCTAAATAAGGAGAAATGCTTATATTATATATAACCTATTAATAATCCTGCTAATTATATAATAACTTATAAAGAAACCCTATAATACCTATAAGCCTTATAATATAGCTTATAATATTAACTTATAACTTACTATAAGCCTAACTTATAATACTATAAGCTACTATATTATATATATATATTTATTTAATAATAGATAAAACTTAGCTTACTAGCTATTAATAAGACTTCTTTACCTTAATAAGCCTAACTTATATTATTAACTATTAAGAGATATAATACTTTGCTATTACTTAGTATAAATGCCTTATAACTCTATAAAAAACCTAGTATAGACTAGTTTACCTGTTTGAAACCTATCCTGTTATATATATATTATATAAAGTTCTTCTTTATTAGCTACCTTTAGGGCAGGCCTAATAGCTAAATTAAGATTATAGCTAGTTATATAGTAAGTATAATTATATAGCTATAGGCTATTTTATGTAATAGGTATTAAGGCAGTATAGCTATTATACTATTAGTAAGAAGGGTTAGAAGTTAGGTTAAATAATATACTTTAGAAGTATAATAGATAAATTAGGTATAGTATATTATAAAGGTTAATTAAGGTATAGTCCTTTAGATAGGTTAAAGGAAGAAGGTTAATTTAGCTATTAAGATATAACTAATATTAATACTGCTTAGTTAAGGCAGTAATTATATTATTAAGGCAAATAAACCTTATTTAATTCTGACTTTTATAATAATAGCCTGCTATAGGGGTCTTATTATTTAACTTATTAATAAAAAAGCTAAAAAGCTTAATGGCCTTATATAAGGCTAAAGGTAAGGGAAAAAAAAATATTAATTTAATTAATTTAAATTAAGTTAATAATAAGTTATTAAATCTTAAAGATTTAAAAATAGCTTTAAAAAAAAGGTTATCTTTTTTAATTAAATAAAATAGCTTTTTTTATTATCTTTATAAATAACTTAATTATATATAAAAAGTAACTTTTTATATATTTATAAAGGTAATTAATATTATTAAAAAGCTATTTTTAAATTAATAAAAAGTTTTAAAATAAATATAAGATAAAGGCAAGGTTTAGAAATTTAAAGGAATTATATTAAGTTTACTTTATATAAAATATTATATAACTCTTCTATTTTAGGAAAAGCAGCTCCTTTTAGCAAAATGCCCTACTAATTAGCATCCGGCGGTTTAACAGCCCACCACGAGTATCGCATGCATTTACGTTTCACACGATGTCACTAAATCCTGCATGGGGTATGGAATAGTTTATTTAGACGGTTTAATACCTACGAGAAAAATACATCTTTGTTTTCGTTATTTTTTTCAATGCTGAAATGCAAATCTGTAGGCAGGTATTCCACCACGACTTTTGTCTAAATGGCGGGAAAAGGTTTGGGTATCAACAAGCAGTCAGCTCTGAGTCGAACCACTTCTAGACCACTCGCCCTGTAGTTTATTTCGTATCAAAAGAGCCACAATAGTCCTAGAACTCCTGTTGTCCTTGCTTATTAATACTCACCATGCTATACGACTCCGGCAGAATGATTTAAGACCGTGCTTTTCATCAGCTGATCTTATTCACGCGACGGCAAGCCAAGGATATCTGTAATAGCCTCACGTTTCAATTTGACATAAAATGATCTAGATGATGGAAAGAGGATCCTAATACTTGCGGAAACTACTAAGTCCCCAACCTGGCCTGTCAAATAAATAAAGTGAGCAGGGATAAACAGCTCTATCAGTTCTGGTGTCTCAGGCATCATAAGGTAAGCAACATCCATACTTTCTACCCACTCAACATTGAACGCCTCGTTCAAACCCCGCATCTCTACCAACACAAGTACCGATAACATGAAACTCACACCAATTTCGTTCGAACAAGTCACAGCCCTCACACCTGTCCCTCGTGATATGGCGGAGTACATAGATATCTTTGATAAACTTGGTACTCAAGGTTGTCTCTTGGACTGTGACACATGGGCCGCCAAGCAACAGCCCGCTGGTCGACGAACCACGACTCAAGGCGAGAAACGAGAAAAGCGGAAAGATCTAAAGGCACTCGGCAAAGGATCAGTAATGAAGCAGCGTCAACGTTGAATAATGATACAAGAATCAACAACAGTAAGCTCAAGTTCAGGCGTAAAGCTTTCAGATTGAAGGACGCAAAGGCTTCTGGAGATCGTGGCTGCGAGTGTTGCCTGTTCTTTCATGACTTGCTGAAAGCCCTGATGTCTGCGCGTGGGAGCTTTAATATCGAGAATCTCGTCTTTGAGTGGATCCGTTATAGCTTTCTTCTTAAAGTGCAGGAAACACAGAATAGTTTTTCTTTCCAATTCTTCTCTCCTCTGGGTATATATACATCTGACCTATGAACCAACACCAACTAAGCTATGATTAAGGATCCATGTCACTCATCAACGGCTTCAGATCTGCCAAGGTTCTTTCAGGTGATACAAACACCTCAATTTCCCTTGGCCTGGCAGAAAGCTGGATAAGGCAATGTGAAGAGACTCACGAGCAATGCGGTTCTGGACGAGGTGTCCCCCTCCCGAAGCGATGTCTGGACCTTAAGCCAGATACTGTCCCTGATGGCTCAGTGATACAGCTGGTACAAACGCATAGTATCAATGGTATGCTTGCCTTTCTCATTGTTGGGGCAAGGACCCGAAACACATAACGACCACATCTCAGACTATCGCGGATCACTTTAAGCGCATCCGCCTTACAGCACTTCCCAAGACGTTCAGGGATGCTGTGGTACTAGCAAGAAAACTTGGGCTACGATACCTTTGGATTGACTCCCTCTGTATTATTCAAGATTCTTCTGAAGATTGGCAAATTGAGTCCAGCAATATGGCCGACATCTATCACAACAGCTTTGTTACCATTGCGGCAATCTCATCGCCTGACTCCCGAGGCGGTTGCTTCTCCCCAGGAAATCAAGGTGATATATGCTTCAGGACTCAGGGAGACCATGGCCTTGATACTCTGATTGCTGCTCGGTATTGTGATGGCGAAGGTGCAGCAGATGACATCAAAGCATTCCAGAAGACCTTTCCAGCGCTAACTCGAGCATGGATCTATCAAGAGCGTATGCTGCCCCGGAGGCTACTCTATTGTACATATACCGAGCTCCAGTTTGAATGCCGGCAAAACAAGACGTGTGAGTGCGGCAACCGCTTTATGCCTCCGCATCCAGCACCAAAGACTGAGGCCAGTCAAGCTATGGCGCAAGGAAAGGATCATTACGATCAAGTTCAAAGACTCCACGGTGTCAGAGGATTGTACTCGATACCGCAATTATGTCAGCATTGGCAGAAGACAGTGATGCAGTATACTAAACTTCGCATCACACAGGGGAGTGATAAATTGCCGGCTTTGTCAGGGTGCGCCAAAGATATTGGGCGGATCACGAGAGACGAATACATTGCTGGACTCTGGAGGAACAGTTTAGCTGAGGGATTTCTTTGGGTCGTCAACAAGCCGGTGGACCAGACTCGCCCGACATGGAGAGCACCTAGCTGGTCGTGGGCGAGCGTGGATACTACTAGAGGCATAGATTACACCTATTCCCTGAGAACGCGCCACAGACGGCAGTTACAAGATAGGATCGAAGCGGTTGAGTATGTCCCCGCCGGCATCGACAAGACAGGAGCTGCAAAATCCGGTCACATCTGCGTACGAGCGTCTCTATGCGCTGTGCACCTCCGCAGCATCTGTAGAGTGTGCTCGACCTCCAGAAGCACCACTCATTACACCATAGAGAGCGAAAGTTGGGTGTTGACACGAAGCCCTCGGATAACACCCTGCCCTGTGACACCAGGCCACGATATCAAAGGACTAAAGCTGAAGGGTGCAAAGCCGAGTTTCTTTCCCGATTACAAGTATGACGACAGATTTGACTTTGAATTCTACCAGAGGAACGACGGGTTTGCTTGTCGGCATGCCCAAGTGTTTCTTCTCCACCTTTATGATAGTCAGTCGTTTGCGACTGATGTGATTACCGATTACTTCCTTGTTCTCAAGGTATCCAATAGCAAGGACTCATTCGAGCGGGTTGGGCTGTTTACTCTCAGTTTTGAGAAAAGGGCAACGAGAGATGAGTGGTTTCAGATGGAGTATGACCTAGCGGCTGGAAAAGAGAATCATGTGAAACTTGTATAGTGCTAGCTTCTAAGAAATGAAAGAAACCGGAAATCTGACAACTTTGAGCCAGAAGACTGTCTGTAATACAAGTGACTCTGGTGAGCAGTAGCAGTCAGCTGTCATATTGATACTGTGAGGATAATTAGAATCAATAGATATATGTTCCTCTTTAATTTTCCTCTTGTTTTGACTTTCCCCGCCTCGTCCGGAAGCCTTCCCGGCCATCAAACCTGCAAGTCAATATCACGGATTATCAAGAAGGGAAAACTTTTAGGAACGGCTGTAGATCATCCCTGGTCTATCGAATTGCAAGCGCAGATCTCAACTTTCAACTAGCGGGGCAATCAGGGGTCGTGTGACTCAGGGTAGACGACGATCACCATTATTTTCTTATTCGATGCATGTCTGACATGTACACCATTGATCTATCGCATCTCGCATTTATTCGAAACGAAAAGCTAATCTAACCTTTATCGAATGGGGCATTTGCCGTTTGGACAAACACACTAGTCCTGTTCATTTCCCGTCAGACTCTGCTGCGTGAATTTCCACATATTCCATCTCAGGCTCAAACTTAATTGCAACACTCTCCTAAGGCTTTATAGTCACGCCCTCTCGGTAATTACCACGAATAGGTCTCTATATCTATCTAAAGCCATAGGACCTAGTTCCTGTTTAACTTTATTCCACTCCTCGCCCAGATTCTCCTTTATAGGCTAGATTATATTAATATTAATAACAGTAAAGTTGTCATAATAAACCCATTCCTCGCACTTATTGGTCCTCACGTCTCGTTTCAAAAAATCCTCCAGGCTGCTTTTGGGTGTCAATACCATCTGAATCCAAGCCAAACTGATTCGTGTTGAGACCCGCTGAAAGAACCAGAAAATCAAGTCGATCAAGGGATTCGCGCAGACCGCCAAAAACTTCGCGGATTTGAGCGAGGTTGCCCATGCCGCATTCTTTCCAGTCAATATCGGCGTTAGACTTTTCGTTCTGGATGGCGGAGATGGCATCCTGGCCTTGTTCTTCTTTGCGGTTGATCATGATGACTTTGCAGCCGGCGTGGGCGAGGGCGCGTGATACTTCATAGCCGATGCCCAGGGCGCCGCCTGTTACGATTGCGACGCGGCCTTCGAGATGTTCGGGTTTGACGACTTGGGGGCCGATGCCTGTTGTTTTTTGGAGGATGGATTGCATTTTGGTGCTATGCTTGGTTGAGTTGATCTGAAGTGAACGAAACAAGAAGGATTCGAGGTGAAAAGTTGAAGAATGTTTGCAATTCTCAGTTTGGAGATCTCATTTTGAAATGAGGTATTGTCCTATATATTTGCCTGTAAGTCGTGGTTGAAGCCAATCATGTATCACTGTGACGTTGACAAAGAGTTATTGACAGGGGAAAGCTGTTATGAATGACATCATTATTTCTTCAGCATCGCATTTCCATGTCGCATATCTCGCAAATCCATGATCAAACTGAGATAAAATTGAGTACACAATTATCATATCTATTCACTTTATACCGACTGATTTTGAGAGACCCAACGCGTAGAGCTACTATGACATGCTCTTTTTTTGCGCGGCTTATCAGATATGAACGCGACAATCCGTGAATGCAACACAAAAAGGACAGACGAAATTAATATCTCCCAATCACCCATCAAAACAAACCCTCGATTAATTTGGCAGACCTTACAATCGTGCTTTTCAGCTCTACACCAGCGCCCATGCACCTGTCAATTCCCCATCTTCGGTGATTTTTCGCGTTTAAAGTTCACCAGTCCAGGGTAGCTCCCTCTAAGCGAAGGCCTGTGCTTCAGCTGAACAACATCAGGTAGCATCGTGAAAAAATTGAGTTCACAAGTAGCGGAAATTGGCAGGAAATTAAACATAAAACATCTTCGGGTGAACCTAGCCACATCTAACAACCTCACCGTTTCCTAGCAAGGCAGCAGTACTCCACTGATCAACCGACCAAACATGTGCTAAGCAGTCTAAACTTCAGCTAAGGTGAATGCAAATGGTGATCTTCACTTACTTTGCAAATCTTGATAGCATAAAGCCGTTGTATTTCCCAGCCTGCAGATCTTCACACGTGGATGGTAGTCATTGTTGGGACCAAAAGTCAGGGCTGGCAGTGCGTGTTATTGGGGGTGTTTTGGGGGTTTTCTCCGTCGGCCGACACGACGATACAACCTTGGTAATTAAAAATCCTAAGGCTGAGGGAAAAAAACACCGACGGGCCTCGGGCCGGGTGCAAGTGAAGACGCCAAGTCTCCGAGATGATTCAACTTCCATAACGGGGTTAGCTATCTAATCACGATAATGACTGAGTCGCTGATTCAAAAACGGGTCATCGGTCGAACCCTCAGCTCTCGGTCCTCAGTGCTCGCTGCGTTTGACGACAGGTGTCAACTGTCACAGGCTCCATGATTTTGTATTCCGACGTCAGTGGCTTTCAGGCCGTTATTAAACTAAGCTAATCACCGTTCTTCTCCGCGATATCACAAAAGCCTCAAATTAAAATTACCCATCAGCCCAGCGCCTAAACGTGCATGTTCGGTTCAATAAAGTGATTCCGTCGGGGACCGGCAACTTCTGTATTCAATCTAGACCAGGGGTATTTTTCTCACCCAATCCCTGTAACAAATCGCGCGACAAAAGGGCCTACTTGCCTTAGCGCTTAGCATTGACAGAATGATTGTTAAGAAATAGTGGGAGAGTGGGTGGGCGGGCTAACAGGGAATTTTGGGGGGGGGGGGGGGGGGGGCTTAAGCGATAACAGGCTGATTTGAGATCTAGACCCAGCTACTTGGGCGAAAAAGGAAATCACCGGACTTAAGCAGGGGGAAGAAAGTGTTGTTGGTTTTGAAATGTGACAAATGGATGAAGCGAGAAAAGAGGAAGTGATAGACAATTGTTTGTAAGAAGAAGACAAACACCACCAAGTGAGATACTGAAGGTAATCGTTTTATCGGCAACCTATAGCAGTATGAACGTCATTCTGTCAATCGGAAACATTGATAGCCTGGGAGGATCATATCGTCCGGGGGTCAACGTTAACGCAAGGGTCAGCAGCCTTACAGCAAACCACCATGTTCCTGCACTAGCACTAGCCAGGGGTTCGACCCTCTCCATCCACAACCGAGTCAACGTGGTCTTGGACTATTCATCCCAAATTGTACGCCGTCCACATGCCAGTCCAGCCCACTACCTACTACGCCTCTTTTCAATAATGGCGCCCATCGTTAAAAACATGACGCTTAGCCTCTCTCTCCCTTCTCCCCCCCTCAACCCCCATCAGTCACTCTTTTGAACCCTCTATCTTGACTGTTTGAGTCAAGAAGTACACGCCCACGATGGCTAATTCACTCTTTACTTTTTTTCTTCTTACATTCCTTTCATTCTTTGTATCCGCCCAAGACGATGTTAACCCCGGTGATGTGAACCCCGTCCCCCCCGTCGGGGAGATAAAGACCGAAGATCCCATCTCCAGTCCTCTCACCGAAGGATGTCCTCAGCCTTGTAACATCGCGGGTAACGATCCCGCCAACTGGACGCAACTTCACAGTCTGGAGGAACTCGCGGGTTGTACTCTTCCTATGCTGTTTGCCTTCAATGTTGAGAACGATTACAGCGAGTCCGCAACTTTGTATACCTGCCTTACCGAGACGAGCTCTACACAGACCAAGAGGGATGAGGGAACAAAAGTTCAGGCGAGAGCGGCGGAGAGCTCTGTTTCTCTTGCTAGTAACTGCGGTGCTGAGAAAGCTACCGTAAAGACGACCTCATCTTTTGGTAAGACTGTTCTTCGATCTGGTAACAACGTCGCTGCTGCCGCTGGTCTTCTTGCCGATTATCTTGATCACGGCGCTACATGCGGTACTACCATCCTCTTCGCAAAGTCTGGTTCTTCCATCGCTGGCCTTTACGTCGGAGGTGAGGTTCAAAAGGGCAGTGCTTCCAACATTCTTCGTCAATCTACTTCTCGTCTTCAAAAGGGCGTTCAGGCATTCCAGGTCTGCAATGCTAATGACAAGACTGCTGAGACTGTTGGTCTTTTCGCAGCTGATAACGTGAATGGCCTTGAGGCTGTTCAGAATGCTGTGAGGACTTGGTCTCATGGACAGTGTGTTAGCATTGCCCAAGCTTCCAAAGAGTCTATCAACCTTGGTGTTCTGACTACTACCACCGTCAAGGCTCGAGATGTTGAGCTCCGCTCTCGCTTTGCGGGCGTTGAGTCCCTTCTTGCACCCCGCGCCGACTGTCGCGCTATTCAAGTTGTCTCTGGTGATTCTTGTGCTTCGCTCGCTAAGAAGTGCAAGGTTACTACCGCCAACTTCAACAAGTATAACCCCCAGAAGAACTTTTGCTCTACACTCGCTCCTAAGCAGTGGGTTTGCTGCTCTGCTGGTACTCTTCCCGATAAGACTCCTCAGCCTAGCAAGGATGGAACATGCTTCATTTACAAGATAAAGTCTGGCGATGGCTGCTACTCCCTCGGTCAGAACTTTGGTATCACTCAGAAGTTTATTGAGGATGTTAACAAGAACACCTGGGGCTTCGCCGGATGCAACCGTCTTCAGCTCGGTCAGCCTATCTGTCTTAGCAAGGGAAAGAACCCTATGCCTTTACCTATCGCCGGCGCTGTCTGCGGTCCTCAAAAGCCTGGATCTAAGAAACCCTCTAGTGCCAAGACAGGTTGGGATCTCGCCAATATGAACCCTTGCCCTCTTAACGCCTGCTGCTCTGGTTATGGTTTCTGCGGCATTACTTCTGAGTTCTGCACCAACACTACCGCCAAGGGCGCTGCGCCAGGTACAAGCCAGGCGAACACTCCCGGCTGTATCGGAAACTGCGGTACCAAGATCGTCGGTAACTCCAAGAAGCCCGCCAAGTTCCTCAACGTGGGTTACTTCCAGGGCTACAACCTCGGTCGACCCTGCTTGAACATGGACGTCACCAAACTCCCCCAAGTCACGACTCCTTACACTCACATCCACTTTTCTTTTGCCGGTCTCAAGTCCGATTTCTCCGTTCTTCTGCAACCTGATGTCCGTGAGCAATTCCTAAAGTTCAAGGAAGTCAAGGGCAGCTGGAAGAAGATCATCTCCTTCGGTGGCTGGGCTGGTTCAACTGATGCGTCAACATACCAGCTGTACCGCGATGCTATAAAGCCTGCGAACCGTGACAAATTTGCTTACAATATCATGACTGTTCTTAACAACCATAAGCTTGATGGTGTTGATTTCGATTGGGAGTATCCCGGTTCCGCTGGCTCTGACGGCTCTTCTACCGATACTGCCAACTATGTTGCGTTCCTCAAGGTCATGAGGAATAAGATTGGAAAGAGTGGAAAGACTATTTCTGTTGCTCTTCCTGCTGCTTATTGGTATCTTAAGCCGTTCCCTGTTACGCAGATTGCGCCTCTCGTTGATTACATGGTCTACATGACCTACGATCTGCACGGTCAATGGGGTATGTCTCCCTCCCTCGATTCTCGTTTATGACTTATACTAATCTGTTACAGACTACGGTAACAAGTTCATCAGCTCCGGCTGCCCCAACGGCAACTGTCTCCGCTCCCACGTCAACAAGACCGAAACTCTCGACTCCCTCGCAATGATCACCAAAGCCGGCGTCGACCCCGCCAAGGTCGTCATCGGTATCTCCAGCTACGGCCGCAGCTTCCGAATGAAAGACCCCAAGTGCACAGGCCCAACATGTCAATTCACCGGAAGCTTCAGCGTCTCTGAAGCCGAACCTGGTGTCTGCACCGGTGAAGCCGGATACCTCTCCGACGCTGAGATTCGTCTCATCGCGTATGATGCTAAGCAGGGCAAGAAGGGTGTCACGGCGAAGACTTGGTATGATAAGGATTCGGACTCGGATATCATGACGTTTGGAACAAAGGGTAAGGGTATGACTGATTGGGTTGCGTATATGGGACCTACGACGAAGCAGAAGCGTACGGATTGGGCGAAGAGCTTGAACTTTGGTGGTGTTGTTGATTGGGCCGTTGATCTGGAGACCTGGTTCTCTCCCAAGCCTTAGATAGTTCTTTTCTAATATGCTTGCTACCACGGATTATATATACTAATAGCTCATGAATATAATGAACTAAGACTGTGGTGCCTTTGCGTCTTCTTCGTATTGTTTCCATCGATATTCTTTCTCAATTCCTTTTCTTCTCTGCGCCGTATCACAGAGCTTTTCATTCCCGCATTCACATTCTGCACCCTCGCGAAGCCAACGATATGTAAGACTCCATCGAATCTGTCGTAATCGCACTGTTCCATCAGGGAGGGTATCTGTTTTGCGAGATTTAATCCCGTGCGTCCAGTGTAATCGTGAATCACCGCTCATCTGCATCATACTCCTCGGTAACAAGTCAACCTCAATCTTCTCGCCTGTTTCTTTGTTTGAGAATTGCATGAATAGTGGCGAGCCAAGAGATAGTGAGTAGAGCTGATCGAATGGGCCGTGGGTGTCGACGTGAGGCGGTATTCCTGTTCCTGGGGCGTATTGTTGAAGACAGACTTGATCTGGCGGACGGCCTTCGGTTGTTGGCAGCAAAGGGACTAGCCAGTCTGGAAAAGGTTTGAAGGGAGTTTCTTCATCGATGCCGAATGTTTTGTAGCTGAATGTGTAGCCGTAGTGAAGCGAGAGTCGTCCTGGTCGAGTTGGCCATTCTAGCTCATTCTCGAAAATGTGAATGAGTTTCTCTTCATGCTCTGGTGTGATGAAATCTTGTTGCATGAAGATACCCGAGGGTTTGATTGGCAGTTCCTCCATTTTAAGTGTTATAATTTGATGTATTTCGTATTTGGGCTGTGACGAGTGAGATTTCTTTATGGCCTGGATTTCTTGTGGAGATAAGTCCACGTGACATTTTGTGTTTTCATACCACATAAAGTACTAACTACTATTACCCTTACAATATGTAAAAATATATATAACTATTTTAATAACTTTAATAATTTATATATTATAATATTCTTTTCCCCTTGCCTTTAACCTTATAAAAAGCTATTAGGCTTTTTACCTTTTTTATTAAAAACTTAAATAAAAAAAACCTCTATAATAAGCTATTATATTAAAAGTAAATATTAAATAAGGTGTATTTGCCTTATTAATATAATTACGATTTTAATTAAGTAATATAAATACTAGCTCTTAATATAATCCTAGTAATTATCTTATATATACCTTATAACTTTTACTAATTATATATAATTATTATAAATTTATAAATTCTATTTATAAATGCTTTTATAAACTTAGCTAATTAACTATAATATAACTTTTTTATATTAATTAAGCCTAATATATATTAGATTTATTATTAAGAAATATAATACTTTAATAATACTGAATATATATCTTATATTATTTATTAATAATATACTTAATATAACTTAATTTAATATAATTAAATTTAATTATTATAATAAGGGTTTATATTATAAACTTTAAATAATACTTAAATTTATTAAAAAATAAATATAAAAATACTTGCCTTTTTAAAAAGAGATATAATTTACTTATATATTAAAAATATTATTATAAAGTAATTAATTTATAAATTAAATTTTAAATATATTAGACTATATATAATTATTAAAAATATAATTATAAACTAAACTTATTATTAAAGGTTAAGCTTTATATAATCTTTTATATTTTATTACTTAAGTTAATAATAAATATAATATAAATTAAAATAAATAATAAACTTATAAAAATTAAAAGATTAAAAGTTTATAATATAAAAGTAATTAACAAAATATAGAAAATTAATAAGAAAATATAATACCTTATTAAATAGAAATATTACTTAAAAAGTAAAAATATATAAGAATTATTAAAATACTTTATTAATACTTAGTAATTACTAAAGAATTTCTATTAGTAATATTAAAAGAGAAAAGTTTACTTTAATTAATAGTATTTATAATACTAGTTAACTAAGCCTTAATAGTATTAAAAGACTTAGTATTTTTAACTACTTCTAGTATATTTAAAGTATAATAATTTAAGTCTAATTATATTAAGCTAAGTTATACTAGGTTTATTATTAATAGATTATATATAATATATATTAAGTATTATTAAAGTATTATATCTCTTAATAGTAAATTTATTATATATTAGGCTTAATTAATATAAAGAAGTTATATTAATAGCTAGTAAGCTAAGTTCTATTTAATGCTAAATATATATATATATATACTGAGATAGACTGAGGTGCGTTTCCCTTGGACTGCAGGTTAAATGGTGTTAGACTGTAAGGATTGGTACTTCGGTCTTTATTGGTGTTGAGGGATTATAGCTTCTTAAGCTCGGTCTTAACGTAGGTCGATCTGATTAGTGGATAGAGCGGGAAGTTTTGTAGGGTACACGTGACGTAAGCGCGAATATTGTAACATAAAGTCCTAATATTTAATAAAGTATTTTAATATTATACTTATTTAGCTGTCTTTTTTAATAATAAAAATATATTAAGTAATTTAAATACTGATTAGCTTATTATTATAATTATAATAATTTAATTTTAATAACTTTTTTTTTATATTTTAAATACTGCTTTTTTACTATAAAATAATTAGCTAAAGAATAAATTAATATAAAAAAAAGTAAAAAATAAATAAAAAGATTATTTACCTTTAAGAATTAAAATACCCTTTTTATTATATTTATAATTATAATAAGTATATTATATATACTTAAAATAACTATCCCTAGCCTAGTACTTTAGGCCTTAAGCCTTATAATAATTATATTATATATTAAGGAAACTAGTATTTTTAATATATATATAATTATAAGTTTAAGTTAATATATATTAAGATAATATATAAAGAAAGTAAATATATAAGTCTTAAGGGCAAGGCTAATAAAAAGAGAGAGATTATATTATAATCTAAAGGATAAAAGCACTTATATTATATATACCTTACTTAATTTTTACTAATTATATATTAATTTATATTAAACCCCTATAATAAATTATAAGCTATATAAAATAACTTATAATATTAATATATAACTTATTTCAAGCCTGTTTTATAATACTATAAGCTATTATAATATATATATATATATATTTATTTAGCCTTAAATAAAACTTAACTAACTAGCTATTAATATAACATCTTTACTTTAATAAGCCTAATATATATTACTTAAATATTAAAAGATATAATACTTTATATTACTTAATATTATACCTTATATTATCTGCTAATATAAACCTAATATTAACTAGTTTATTTCTTATAAATTATAAATTATTATAAATAACTTATAAATTAAATAAAAAAAGTATAATATATATTTATTTATAATATATACTTATTAAATATATTATATTATAAAAATTATATTTAATTAATCTTATATATATATAAATAAATAAAATAAAGTTAATAAAAAAGTAATAAGTTAAGTAAGGGATATTATAATATAATATTTCCCCTATTTATATTAATAATATACTAATATTATAGCTAATTTGCTTATTTGGTTATATGGCTTATCTTATAACTTATTTAATCCTCTTTTTGCCGCCAATGCCAAATTCACGACTTCAGGTCTTTAACTTCAGGTAACTAAACTTATACAAAACTTAATACATTTCTTCTATTTTCCTGCAAAACCCCGCAATTACCCCGCTTCTATCCTCGCGCTCTCGTAGTCTAAGACCATAACCAGCCTGGTCTTTATAAGTTCTTAGTCTTCTCTAGTACCTCCTTGGCCTACTACTAGATATCCTTAAGCTACTTATTATATAAGCTACCTAAGTTAAGGGCCTTAAGGAACCCCCTCTCCCTCCTGCTTAGCTATATCTTTTTATATAGCTTTTTTTTTAAATCCTTAAGCTTTTACTTTTTATATTTAAGAAAGTCTTTATTAATTAAAGGGTTTTTATAAATAGATTATATAAGTAAGAAGATCTTATAATTAAAGATTATTATCTTAATATAGCTAGTATTATCCTTATTAAATTAGGCCTTTTTAATATTTATAGCTATTATATATAATATATTACCCTTGCCCTTATTTTGCCTAAGAGCTTCTTTAATCTTAAGGATTATATTATAGCCTTTAGTTAGATAAGGCTTATTAGCCCTAGGTGCCTACAGGCTTCTTTAGAGCATTATAGCAGGGCAGCTGTAATACTATTAGCGGTTGCAGCCAGAAGAGGGAAAGTCAGGTCAGATAACTTACTGCAGAAGTATAATAGATAATTAAAGCATAGTATCCATTTAGGTAGGTTATAGGAAGAAGGTTAGGGCCAGCTAATAAGCAGGTAAGGCTTTTTAGCTAGCATATATACAGCTAGGTTTAGGCTGTAATTAAGGCAGCTAACTATAATGATTTGACTTAATAAAGCTTTACTGGCTATAGGGGTAATAAATATTTAAACTATATTAGATTCTAGAGATATTTAGATATACCTTTTAAGGCTAACTTATAAACTTAAAAAAAAAAAAATAATATAATATTTAAGTTTTATTTTTAAATTATTATTAAGTAAAAGTTATAAGATAATTATAATAGTTATATAAGCTATTAAGCTATATGGCAAAAGATTAGGCTATAATTACTATATAAGTAATTATAAATATATTATAGCTGCCTTATAAAAGCCTTATAGCGCTATTACAGGCACGAATTATAATAATAATTAAATATTTTATATTATATACTTATAAATTATATAAAAATATTTAATAATAAGGTAAAAGTAAATATACTAATATATTAATATACTTAAGAACTTTATATACTTAAGAACTTTATATAACTTATTAGCATAGTATCTTTCCGCATTCTAGTTTAAAGCCTGCAGATTTATGTACAGCAAGTAATGAATCATTGAAGTCCTTGAACCAGCGCTGTAATCTCCTTTCCTATCCGCTCCACCATGACCCTGGTTTCCTCTTCATCCATTACACCTCCCTGCACACGGACACCAAAGTCAATCGCGTCTGTTCGAGTATTAGGTGCAACGTCAATGTAGATGTTTCCTTCCGGCAAGTAGGATATGTCGAGTTTGGAAACCGATGTAGCGGACCTTTCTTCATCCGGAAAAGGCTCTGGGGGTATGAAGTCCGTAGGCACGCCTATAGGTAGATGCTTCAACAAGCTGTTTGATTGGGTCGACTCTGGAGCGTCTTCCGTGCCTTGGGATTGGGGTTGCATCCAAAGTAGGTTCAGCCACACGTTGAACAAATGCAGTGAGGTGTCCTCAACGCCCTCCCTCCAACAGGTTAGGATATCACGTAACGAACTCTGTTCATACAGCACTCGTTCGGCTAGTGTGTCTTGGATCCAGCGGGCCTTTTTACCAACTCCAATAGGCTCAACCTCTCCATCAGGTAAAGCATCTTGAACTGTGAGGGGAGTCACGTTAAGACAAGGGCCAGTCACGCGATCAATGTCATTGAAAGCAGCCGATCGACCAGTTTGGTATAGACCCAGTGTTGGGCTTGATAGGCCAGTATCACGGGCAAGAATACGGGAGACTGCAAGGATGACAATGCTTTGAAGGGAGACGTTTGCGGAGCGACAGACCCTGTCTAGATGATCACAGTTCTTGACTGTCTCCCAAGCGCCGACGAACAGTTGCGTGTTGTGCGGCTTCTTGTTATCCACTTGGCCGCTGCGAGTACATTTGACGAGCGTGGGAGCGCTGTGGCCAATTGCTGAGCGCCAGTAGGCAGGCTCGTCCAGCTTCTTTAATGACTGCAGTGTGAATTCAATATATGAAGCAAATTCAGGTCTGGGTGGAGATTGAACTCGGCGGTAATGATCTGATAACTCATTAATGAAGATAGGCATTGTCCATGCATCGTATATAGCGTGATTCATGATAATATGAATTCCATCTCTATCGCCAGCCTTGAGAAGGAGAAGTCGTACAGGCGGCGTGTTTAGGGACGATGGCTTCAAGGCAGCTGCCCGTGCCTGAGCGATGGCAAGACTTTCGAGAGTTTCCGTAGATGTCATGACCTGGAATGTGCTGTCGTTGCGGTCACATTCGCTCAACACAACTTGAACGGCTTCAGAAGGCGAGACAGCATAAAAGCAAGTCCTCAAGACCGGGTTGTTATGGCGCAATGAGAACCAAGCGTCTCTCATAGTTTCCACGTCGATGCGCTCGGAGCATGAGAATGGCCATGCGGGCTCGAAGAGTATCCGCCCAGTCTGTAGCCAAGAAGCAAGATGATACATCTGGCCGCTGAGGCAGGGTAGGATCTTGTCGATTGCATTCGGCGTCAAGCCCAGCTGACCAATCACCTCTTGCTTGATACTGCTGTAGTCCTCGATAAATGAATCCTCGTTGATGGCCTCCTCGGGCATACCCTTGACCCGTAGAGAAATACCACGGAGGGTGTTTCCCTGAAGAACATCAGAAACTCCTGCCTTGAGTCCTGCAGCGCGGCACATGGATGCAACACGAATCGCAGAAAGTGAATCTAATCCTATTTTGAAGATGCTTGTGTCGGGTTGAATGGACTCCGCCGACACCTTGGAAACTTTGGATAGTATGTCTCGGATGATAGACTCATGAGGCGGCGCAGATGTATCAGCCACCGAGACCACGCCGTCAGCAGACGATCCAAGACTGAGGGGTAAGATCTGAAGCTCGTCTGAGAACATTGACACGCATCGTGAGGGGTGTTCAACAATATCGCAAAATGCTTTACTAAAGTCCTTGACAGCCTGGTCGAGATCCCCTTGAGCCATGACTTCTCCTTGGCACGAGACGCGAACCATGATTGCTTTGTCTGTTTGTTCAACCTCGAGATTCATCTTGTACTCTGAGTCGGGAATGTAGTCATCCGTGATATAGGGCACCCAAATCTTATCATCTGTCGGGTTATCCTGCAACATGTGCACATTATTCTGGAACACGAACAATGTGTCGACTAACGCAGCTGCACTGAGCGCCCCGTTCCGTCTCAGAGACTTCTGAACCTCGTGTAAAGGAGCATGCTCATGGCTTTGCGCCTCAATAGTGAAATTCTGTATCATCTGAACCTTGCTTCGATTACTGATGAATGTGGGATCTAGTGTCACCCTCATGGCCACTGTGTTGAAGAGAGGTCCAACCACACGTTCGGCTTCGGGTTCCAAAGATGAGCGCCCGGCAAGCACTTGGCCAAATGCAACGTCTTGTTTCCCTGTCATCTTGGCGAGGACCTTTGCATATGCTAGAATGGCAACACTTTGCACCGTCACCTCCATTTCCTTGCAGCTGTCGGATATGTGCTTCATACCAAGTTCAATCTCGGCTTCAGAATAGAACATTTCTGGAGATGGTTGGTGATGAGGGAATCGCGGTAACGGTGTGACTTCATAACCTTCGAAAGTCTTGATCCAGAATTGGCAAGCTTTGGACTGATCCTGAGACAGCGATCGGACTGCGTCTGCAAATCGTGGGCGATTTGGTAATGAGGTGCCATGGTAAGCTGAAGCTAGGTCATCGAAGATAAAGGGCAGCGAGACGCCATCATAGAGCGCATGATGCATGATGATAACTAAGAGTCTGCCTTCAGCCTCGTTCACGATCACGGGTTGAATTGGTGGGGTGGAAAAGGCCGATTCTGTATCCAATTTGACATATGGTGTGATCGCCTGGATGACGTCGGTTCCCGATGGAAGAGTGACTTCTTGCCAAGTAGCTGGGACATGGCTGTGGACGATGCCAATCCAGGAAGAGTCCATCTCGGGAGCCGGATGGAATGATGTGCGCAGTATGTCATTGGCCATGATGGTGAGGCGATATGCTTCCCTCAACTGATCAACACTAGTCGATTCTGCGAGTCTTACAACGTGCGGATGAACATATAGAACCCCGTTGGCTCCAATGGTTTGAGTGATCATAGCACTCTGTAGTGGACTACATTTGAAGACGGAGTCGACCGTGTCATCTGGACTGAGACGTTCCACTTGAGATGCAAACTCGTCGAGCTGGACATCATCATCGCAGTTGGACCGTGGCGGGCTTGGAGCCCCTGCCCTGGCTTTCTCAATAATACTGTGAGCCAATGCCCCAACGCATGGAAAGCGCATCACCTCGCCCGATGAAACAGTAATTCCAGCATCACGAAGCTGGCTGGAGAATCGTATGGCGGTCACTGAATCCAGTCCAAGACTCAAGAACGACGCGTTCTTGGATATCTGCAAGCCTTCTAAACCACAGAAACGCTTGACGATACCGCAAATCTCGAGCTCGAGGTTCGACCACTGATGGTCGTCCCAGTCTTTCCTGGTGTCCATCTTGGCGGTGGCGCCTGGCCAAGAAGAATGTAGAGAATCAAGGGGCATGGGTTGATTGGATACCACAGCAGACAGAATCAGATTGATCTTTGCCATGAAATCTTGGGCATCATTTTGGTGACCGAAAGCTGATGTAAAACCACAAGTCATGCGAACACACTTGTTCTTTTCATCTGCCTCCACCTCTAGGGCAATAGGGTAATCTGAAGGCATGGTGCTCTCCATTTCCTCCCATAAGTCGTGGCTCTGCTCTTGGGCAGATTTGATGAATGAGAACAGACAGTCGAAGATGGGGCCCTCTGCTTTGACCCATCGTTGAATGTGTCGCAGAGCTGTATGTTGATAATCTAAGGCCTCGGCGGTGCTCTTGTGAACATGTTGGATGACATCTTCCACGGAAGATCGGTTTTCTATGAGCAGTCTAGCAGGAATAGTAGTAATGCATGGTAAGAGCACAGAGTCGGCTCCTGTGACCGGAAGTGCCCTTCCAGAAAGTACGACGCCGTAAGTCACATCAGATGAGCCTACCGCGTCGGCCACGGCCAAAGCAAAAGCCGCCTGAATGAGTGAGGATAACGTAGATTTCAGTCCAGCGGCGCAGCTCTCGAGTTCAGGGAGGGATTGTGACAGTGTCGTGGAGTGGGCATGCCCAGTAGAGTCCCATACAGGTTTTTTGAAAATCGTTGGTCTACAATCGGAGAGTATCTGACGCCAGTACAATTCTGACTTTTCCATATTTTGGGAACAAACATGCTTGATGAAGGTCTCGGGTGATCCTCGATTAGGAGGCGGAACCACTGCCAAGTATCGTGCAGCAAAATCTTGCAGCAACATACCGAGTGATGCACCGTCGTAGAGACAGTGATGTATTGAGATGAACAACGCCAGTGCTTGTTTGGAGACGGGGCTAACTGCGTGCAGAATGCGAAGGGGTGGGACACACGCTATATTACTGGTAATATCCCGCCCGATTGCGTCCTGGCGACAGTGGAAGTCTGCCATGGCCACTTCAAAGCTGTCGTACTGCCTCTCCGTCCAATCGCCGCAATGGCTAGGCTCAAGTATGACCTGTACAATCTCCGAAGGTAGCGGGACAAAAACCGTTCTCAAGATTTCAGTTTCTTTGATAGTATCCTGCCATGCGGCTTGGAGCCTGGCCGGATCAACAGATGAGTTCATCTTCAGCACGATATGGTTGACGTAAAGATCTGAATTGCTGTTCATGGATCGTGCGACAAGACCCTCTTGAAGCGGCAAACAGGGTCTCACAGACGCTACAGATGACCGATGTATATTGGATGGTCGGCTTTCAAATAACTCGGCTTCTAGCTTTGAGAATCTCGTTTGCACTTTCGAGGATGAATCTGCCTCCGACGCTGGGCTTGAGTCCCGCGGGAGGCGAGCGAGCTGTTCCACTACAGGGTTGCCCATAACAAGTGCGACGGAAGCAGACAGGCCAACGTTTCGAAGACGGACCGAGAGATTGATTGCGCTCAAGCTGTCAATGCCAATCTCGAAGATGTTTGTATGCGGATAGATTGTGGACCGCTCAATTGCAATCGTGTCGCAGATGGCGTCTATGACAACCTCTTCATCCGTTGTCAACTCCCTGCCCTGGTGCAGACCGTTATGCATAGTCTCGTTGCCGCCAAGAACTTGAGGCAGGGGCATACTTGCAAACAGCTCCTGCAGTAGATTGCTGTTTACCTTGTCTGACATGGCAGCAAAGGGTATGTAGTTGACAGGAAGAACAATATCTGGGACCATATAACAGGGCAGTTTTCGGCGACACGCGCTTTGTATATACTTGCCCAATGTGTAAATATCATCTGAGATGACTGACGGGATGTCCTTCGAACTGCATCGCTGCGCCCCTAAGCGGGCGATGAATGAGACAAGCTGGCTGCGTGCGAGTCCAGGATGCTTGGCAATGATAGTGACAACGTCAATAGGGTCTCTGGAAGACGTCCTCAAAACCTCAGAAACCTCGCCCAACTCGAGCCGTTGGCCACGGATCTTGGTTTGATCATCGCCACGCCCAAGGTACTCGATACTGCCATCTGGCATGATTCTTCCGATATCACCCGTCCGGTACATTTTCTCACCACCAGGTCCGGTGGCAAACCCTTTGGTATCAGGCCTGTTCAAGTATCCTTTCCCAACAAGGTCCCCCGTGAAGCAAAGCTCCCCTGTCTGCCCACGGAGAGCATAGTCGAGGCTGTCGGGAAGAAGAACATGACAAGCACAGGACGACAAGGGAAGCCCAATGTTGCGCAAGGTCGAATGTTCATTGACCAGTGCAAATGAACATCCAACTGTCAGCTCGGTAGGTCCATAGGCATTCATGACGGCCACCTGACTTGCGCAGCCCCATGTATCCAATACCCTTTGGGAGATTTTCTCTCCACCGACACTCAAGAGTCTTAGACTAGGGCAGTCCCGGGGACGGATGTCAGCCTGATCAAGCAAAGACGGGACAAAACCGGCATGGGTGATCTCCAACTTGGCAACTGTCAATCTGAAATCGTCCACCAATAGTGAACGTGCGCCAGTGGATGTTGCCATGCCGTGGCGCCACGGGAAGAACATCTCGGCTATATGAGGATCAAAAGCTCGACTGGCCTGGCCTAACCAACGACCCTTGCCACCAAGGTCGAGAGTAGCTGGCGCAATCTTGCAAACGAACTCAGATAGAGACTCGATGAAAGAAGACAGATTACCTCGAGTTATCATGACGCCTTTGGGCTTGCCGGTCGACCCAGAAGTGTAAAGAATGTATGCAGTATCGTGAGGATCGGCTGCATAGGTCTTATTCTCGGACGGAAATCCTAGTAACTCTTGCTGGAATGATGGCTCGTCAATGCATATAGTCCGGCATTGGCTCGATCTATGCCGAAAGCTTGAGGCAAAAGCTGTTTCAGTGAATACTACAGGAGCATCGCCATCATCGATCAGAAACGCCTTGCGATCATCAGGAAGTCCTTCGTCAATCGGAAGATAAGCATTCCCAGATTTGATAATTCCAACAAGTACCGGATAAGAGGCAAGGTTTCGTCGAGAGCACAGAGCAACCGTCCGATTCTTGATCTTGTAGTGGTTGAGATAGGCTGCAACTTGATTTGCAGCAGAGTTGAGCTGACCATAGTTCATACAGAGCTTCTCAACTCCAGTTTCGGTGATTGACAATGCCTCTTCGACTGCTGTCCACATGGGGTGCTGTTCAGCGTTGATCTCGATCCAGCGTACAGGACTCAGATTTGATGATTCCTTCACAGCATCGCTTGAGTTAGGGGCTGAGACGGATATTAAAGACTTTCTGATCAAACTAGGAAGAGACTTTAGAGGCACATCTGGATTACAGAGCATGGCGCCAACTAAGGCATCGATTTGGTGGGCCAAGATGGCCAGTTGCTCAGAACTCATAATCGTGTCCAGCGACGATGCTTGAAGGATGACTATACCATCAGGATCCTGATACACGTTCAAAGCCATGGGATGCTCAACAGCCAACCCAAAGTCATCTGGCTTCGGATCCCAGACGGTTCCAGCAGAGGCAGCCATAAGATCCACCTCGTTGCTGGAGTGGAATGTAAATACGCCGGGATACAGACACTCGCCTCGTTTCTTGTTCAGGAGCTTGCGGATGACTCGTGCATGGATATGGCGGTACTTTCTTGCATTTGTGGACAAGCGATGCTGTTCTGCTAACACTTCTCTCACGGTGCCATTTGAGTTGAATGGTACGGGTACAACTGAAATGAGAGGTCCGATGGTACGATCGACATCTGCATCCAACACACGATCCGATAGTGTCTCTGCAAATACGACGCCGGGGTTTCCCAGGTAACTCAACAGCACAAGTCCAAAGACCGCTCGCACAACAGATGCGATGGATGAAACACCGAGTCCAGCAACCGTTGCTTCTAATTGCGAGACAGGAAATGAAAGCCGAACTGTCTCGGTGATGAAATTGCGGTGCTTTGCTTGCCCAGGCGTGGTTCTCTCCCCTGTGAGGTCCGGCCATGAAGGGACTTCAAGTTTTGCATACTCAGCAAGTTCTGGTTCCCAGAAACTCTGAGCATCGAGACACGCTTTGTTGCTGGGGAGCACGAGAGGCAGAACGTTCCGGAGTTGAGGCCTGCTGGGCACCTCAGCGCCGTATGCACAGCAGACATCACTGGTGATGTACCCAAGTGACTGGCCGTCGTGTAAGACGTGATGGACAGAGAAAACCATGGTTTTCTCTCCGTCATTGTCCATGATGGTGACAGCCCACGGCGGATGCTGGAAATAACTTGATTGATGCTCGTTCAGAAGTGCGACAATTCTCTGGTGCAAGTCTTGTCGATAACTCTTGTTTGTGCATTCAATGTACTTCCAGTCAACCTCGTGTTGCTCATAAATGATTTGTAAGACGCCGAAATAATCTCTGTGGCTAAAACCCTCCTTCTGAGTGGCTGCAACCGGAAGGAAACCAATCCGAAGCGCCTCGTTGTTCTGACAGACAGTGTCCCGCGCCTGCTTGAGTTTTCCAATGTCTATGTCTGAGTGAAGACTGAAGGAGTGATGGCTCCAATACATCTCCGAAGTTGTCAGTGTCTCGCTAAGGAAACTCTCTTGAATGGCCCTTGCGGGGCAAACGAAGAAGCTCCCCGAAACCAAGACCGACACGTCTCGGTGCCATTCCCGATTGAAATGCTCGAGATCAAACAAATCCTCCGCCTGACAAGCCTCCGACCATGAACCAGCCAAAAGGATCAGGTCTTTGACAGTTTCGCATTGTAGGACATCAACAACGGAGATGCGGTAACCCGCTTCGTTTAGGCGTGAGGCAAGGCGAATGGCTCTAATGGAGTCGATGCCCAAACCGCGAAGCCTACTCAACTCGTTGAAAGAAGTTACCGGGACGCTAGACAGGGATGAAATGTTACAGATGATGCTCTTCTTCAAATCACTATCAATCTCATCACTTGGTGCTTCGTAATTCTCATCCCGAGTATGGCAAGCTGCCTCCCAGCCGTCCACGTCCAAGCTCGTGTACAGAGCCTGAAGCGCACGTCGATCGGCTTTGGCTGACTGCGTTTTGGGGATGCTCGGAACAACGACAAAGGTAGACGGAATCATATGACCTGGGAGAGTGACAGATGCCTCCCTGATAGCAGAGCGAGCAATGCCAATCGCAGTGTCGTTCAAGAGGATGGTCTGTACTTGTTGGCTAGGCTCGACAGCTTGTGGGGCAGCGATGAAAGCCACAACAGCTTCGTTTGGTCTGTCAGGACGCTTGAGAACCATGGTTTCGATGGATTCGACCAATGGGTGACAGTGGCGTAGGGAGAAGCTGATTTCACTGAGTTCAACACGAATACCGCCAAGTTTAACAAGGTCGTCTGCTCGATTGATGTATTCCAACGAACCGTCTGAAAGCATACGGACTAGGTCTCCAGTGTAATAGAGAATCTGGTTGAATTCCTCGTTCCACACGTATTTTGCTTTGTTTGTCTCGGGTTGCTTTAGATAGCCAGGAGACAATTGAGGGCCACCCAGTGCCAGTTCTCCGACGGCATGCTTCATGACGAACTTACTGTCTTGTGTGACAAATACGGAGACGGATTTCAAAGGCCAGCCAATGTTTCCGCTCTTGACTTGATTTTGTTCGTTTCCAAACTCGCGAAGGGTAGAAACGATTGTTGCCTCGGCCGGACAATATGTGTTGAAGGCTCTCATGTTCTGTCCCCAGTCGTCAGCGACAGGCTGCGGGAGCTTCTCGCCAATCATAGTGATGGTCTGTAGAGTCTTGCAACTACTCCTCTGCAGACCAGCAGAGAACGTAGGGGTAAGGTGAGCATGAGTCGCGCCGGTCACGTTTGCGAGCTCCGCAAATGAACCAAGCATCACGTCTCGAGGCGCCGAAATTAACAACCCACCAGAGCTCCATGTGAAAAATAGGTCCTGAATAGAGACGTCGAATGTAGGTTGGGAGAATTGGAGACATCGAACGGGCTGTCCATCTCTCGTTCCGGGAATTGCTTCGATCAAAGAATTGATGCTTGCAAAAGCAGACGAATGGCTAATGGGTACACCCTTGGGCATACCAGTTGTACCACTGGTCCAGATCATATATGCCGTTTTGGTTGGGTCAGTGATAGGTGAGTCGCTAGCTTGGACGTCCATATAATAATCAGATTCTTGTGTGAAAGGGAACACATCGACTGTCATAACGCCGTTCGGTAAGGCTGCCTCCATCCCAATGCAGTCGCGAGATGAGGTCAAAATCAACTGTGCTTCAGTTCGGCCAATAAGGTCGCAGCGACGTTGGGGTGGTGAATACACATCGATAGGGCACCAAGCGCCACCAGCCTTCAGAGTACCTAAGATGGCCACATATAGCGCGGGGCTCTTCTCGATGTGTATAGGAACAATGGTCCCTGACAATGGTCCAAAGTGAGATACCATGAAGTTTGCAAGGGACTGGGCTTTAGCATTCAGTTCCGCATAAGTCCAGCAGATATTGGCTGGACTATCTCCGTCGAAGAGATTGCCTCTAAAAAGTAGAGCATGGTCGTCAGGATCCGACTTTGCGTGAGCTTCGAACTGAGAGTGAATGAGGGCATTGGGTGGAATCTCTTGGGATATGACTTGATCAAGACAGGATCTTAGTGACAAATCACCAACAAAACGGTTTCCCAAGAAGCTCTCCTCTGGTTGACTTAGGATGCGAGAGATGATGAGACTCATTTCGCGGAGCATTAGCTCAGCAGCGTCGTATTCCAAGTATGAATCATTGAAAGTAGCCCTGAGTGTCAGACTCGAGTCCTTTCCTGGCCAGGCTTCTACCATGACCGCAAAGTCATTCTCCATCGCAGGGTGGTGAATGGAAGTCCAGAGCCCTTCAGATGCAGACTCAGTGTTGAAGTCTTGGTAAGCCAAAAGTGTGTCGTAATGAAGGCGGCCGTCTGCTGTGACTACTGAGCCAAGTCGAGGTTGAAGGTGTGAGAGTGATGCAGCATTTGATGCTACAAGAGACTCTGCAACGGAGCGGTTGGTCCACTCAACCCCATTGAGTTGTTCGTCCTCCAGTCTAAGGCGAATGGGGACGGTGGTAAACGTTGGACCGATGCAGTTCTCAGTTCGTGGATCCAGTCTCCCTGATACTACGCTTCCGATCACAACATCTTGTTCTGGTGTTCCAGAATAAGCCAGAAGAATTGAAGCCCACGCCGCTTGGAGGACAGAGACAGGCGTGGCGCCCATACTCTTGGATGCCTTTTTCAGTTCGCTGTTCCCAATGTGAGAGTTGACCTCGACCATCTGAGTTTTGGAGCTTGAACCAGGTTGATACGGAGTGAGAGATGGGAATCCAACTGGCGAATGCCCTTCTAGATGCTTGTTCCAGAATCGCGCAGCTGCCTCAAAGTTGGCCGAGAAATGACGATGCACAATGTGCTCCAAGGATGTGCGCGTTCGCACAGGCCTGCCTTGGTAAGCATCAGTGACATCTTGCAGGAGGATTTCAAGAGAACCACCATCAAATATACCATGGAACATGCTCAGTACAATAGTACACTTGCTTGCGGAGGAGGCGAGCGAAATATGCGAAGGATTCATGCCAATATCAATTTTGGCTTCGGCATTTTGACAGGCCTGCTCAAGAGCGAGATCGTAATCGCCGTATGCCAGGCCAGCGCTATACGTGCTCCAGGTGGGTTTGACAAAATCGCCTCCCGGTTTGAGAATACACTGAGCGAAAGGAGACATGTTGTCATCCAGATGGCAAAATACTGTCCTGAAAGAGTCGTAGCTACTCATCACAGTGTCCCAGGAGCTTTTCAACCTTTCAATGTCAACGCCATCACAAACAGGCATGACTGAATGGTAGATATAGGTCGGGGTAGAAACAGTTGTGGCATTTGAACCTCGCAAGAAGCTGGCAAGCATTCCTGACTGTGTCGCTGTAGTTGGTAGCACCGACTGAATCTGGTCCTCACGTAATCCAAGCCTCTTGGCACAACCCGATAAGTTTCTTTTGGCGAATGAATCAAGGCTCTTCCGAAGTTGTGCTTCATCGATAGTACTCTTTGAGCTCGAGCCTTCAGTCTGAGAGGCGAGCCTAACTTTGGTTGCCAAAGCTCCAATAGTTCTAGATTGGAGGACGTCTCCAACTTCCAGGCCGTTGATAGAGTGATCTCGCAACTTCTGGAGAAGTCGCACTGCTCCGAGGCTTTCCAAACCAAGCGAGGCTAGTGATGTTTCTGGACTAATAGTAGAGCTTACTTCGGCAACCGTCTCGCATAGCGCTTCCATGAGAACAGTCGGAGTATAGGTCTGCAATGGCTTGTCGTATGAATCAAGCTCATCGTAGGTAGTGGACAGATCCTGAGACTCGCTTGAGGGAATGAACGTATGGTATCTGTTCGATTGTGATATCTCGGAGTATACTCTCTTGCGATCGACTTTCCCAGAGCTGGATCGCGGCAGACTATCAAGGAAGATGTACCTTGAAGGTCGCATGTAGGCAGGTAAGAACTTGTCACTGTTGCGAGAGCAGCTGTCAACAATAACCTGCCTTTCATCTGATGACTGCGTCTTCGTCACGATGCAGGCAACAATCTGGTCACTTCCCTCCCGATTACCACTCGATTTGGAGACTGCAACGACCAACTCAGTCACTCCATGTACAGTGGCAAGAACCGACTCGATCTCGCCCAGCTCGACACGACGGCCGCTCAGTTTGACTTGATCAGAGCTGATTCGTCCAAGGAACTCGATAAGCTGTCTGCCAGACTCATCCCAAACAATACGCGCCATATCACCAGTTCGATACAGCCGACCGTACTCCATGCTTGAGATATAAGCCTTGGCCGTCTCTTCAGGTTGATGCAAGTACCCTTTGCTTACTTGAGGGCCCCCTATGGCAAGCTCTCCGACAAATCCAGTCGGCATCACTTTGGGTACTTGGCTCCTATGATCCAGAATAAACATAGAACATGTTGGAAGAGCTTCACCAATGATTGACCCCCGAACTGAGTACTTGACCGGTGCCAAAAATGTGCAGTTAATGGCAGCTTCAGTCGGTCCGTAGAAATTGGCTAGGGTATAAGTAGTATCTGGTGATCGAAGGCCAAAGTTATCGATCACAGTTCGATTCAGCTTTTCACCCATACACCATAGGGACTTCAGTGTCTGGAGGCGAGATGGTCGTAACAACGCAGCTAAGCTAGGCGTAGCCATCATTATGGTTGCCCGTGCTTCGTTGATGGTCCCTTCCGGGTCTGTTAAAGTCAGGTTCCGCGGTGCGGCGCATAGCGTTCCTCCGTTGCTCAAGGTGACAAAGATTTCCATGATGGATGGATCAAAGGTGGGCGCTGCAAACTGAAACCAGCGGAAACTGCCATTTTGTGGTTCTGGAAGAACAATAGCTGTTGAGTGTGACCCAATCGAGCAGGCTGCTGCTGAATGAGATACTTGAACTCCCTTGGGTTTGCCAGTCGATCCGCTGGTGAAAAGCAAATAAGCCAACTGACAGCTGGAAATTGGCCGTGGCTGAAAATTGCACTCTGCATTCGTAACCGACGTGTCTAGATTTGACAGAGTTGTCCATCTAGACATCCGACTAACATCAATCCGGGTCGCCTGGATACCTTGATCGGCCCATGCGTCTGGCTTCTCACCGATACCGAGCACAACAGGAGGTGATATGTCCTGGATGAGCTCTCGTACCCGTTCAAGGGGAGCTTCCATGGGTAGCGGGGAGAATGCGAAGCCGGCTTTGAGAATGGCAAGGTAGGAGATATACAACTCAGGAGAAGTTGACATGTAGACTGGGAGAACATATTGATCTGCTGTAATTGTATCTTGAGATGCCAGGCCGACCAGGCAGGAGGCCAAATAATTAGCGGCGTTATTGAGTATACCGTAGCTCAAGACTTGATGCTGCGCGGGCTCCTTCGAGTTCGAGAGGGACAAGACGAAATCTACAGCGGGAGAGTTTGGAGTTTTGAAAGCCCAATACTCAAAGCCCGCATGTAGATGAGTCGCTCTGGTGGCAATATCCCAATTACTACTGAATCGAGGAGGTGGTTCTAGCAGAGGGGGGTGGTTGACAACAGAAGACTGGGGGGCAAGGTGATCACCAAATTCAGTGCCAGGGACAATTTGTGAAATGAAGACTCTGAGAAGTTGCGTGGCCGCTTGTTCAGGGATGCGTTCAGAAGGATAGGAGATATGGATAGTAACCGTGTTTGCTGCCGCGCTTGGTCGAATATGGAGGATGAACAACTACCGTAAGGTCAGCCTAAAGCAGAACAAACAAAAAACAGACTACGTAGCTCTCACATCTTGTCTTTCTAGCTTGGGGTCGTCACCAGGATCGGATGTGCGCAAGTCCAGAGCGAATTGTATCTCGTCTTCCTGGCAGAACGACAGATCCAATTCATCCCAGCGGGGCATGAGAGACTCACCCGCTTGCAGAGTTCCATGATGAATCACGGCAGAGACAACTGAAATGGAGGACAATGATGTCTCAGACTCCGAACCCCGGGCAAGGATGAAAGCGACCTCGTCTGCACCAGTACAGCCCGACACAAGTCGAGCATAAGACTCAATAAATTTGGCCTCGTTGGAAGTTTTAAAACAGTATGGTAGGTTTATTTTCTCGGTGAAACCTTTACAGTCTTCCGCGGGGGTAGCCAAGTAATGATCGAGGATATCCAGTGCTGGCACTTTCGTGGCTGGAGGTGTCCCAGCAGGTTGTTCACCACATATGATTGATGGTGTCATCTTTTCAGAGAATAGAATAGGAGATTAAAACGAAATAATTGAATGATTTTTTTATTGTAATTTTTTAATTCTTTTTTGTAGCAAAACTGAAGGAGTCAAAATCGCGCCAGATCTTCACATCACTTCCATACATAATCATTTAAAGCTTGCACCACCTCCCTATGGAACATTGAGGGATATAACCTTGAAAAGGACCGCCTTGGTTGTAACTGTCATAATTACCATGGACACGCCGATGCCGGTTGAAATGACATTGTTCATCAGGACCCAACCATTCCATAAAATTGGTAAACTTGTAGTTGAGGTCGCATGGCTATTGGAGAGCCCGCTTTGTTATGCAAATGTTGGGCGGTTATTTCTTATGGTACATGTTGTTTCGAGTTTGAATCGGGCTATACGCCCGAGTGAGGTGGACGATCTTATCAATCTGATAAAGTATGGCAATGAAAGCCCCCACGTCCCACAGAATTCATACATGGGCATCGGCCGGCCAACATCCCAGTTACCCTCTGATAGGTCTACTCTTCTCCGTCTTAAATGTCAGAGTTGCGTGATGATCCTAGTAGATGTGCGGCGAAACCCAGTAGCAAATACATCAGTGATACAAGGTCAAGAGCCAGTCCACTGCCAATTTCTGTTCTCTCCTCTGAATGCTTCCCTGTGCAAAGTAGACACGAGCTCTCTTGCAGCAACAATGTATTTGTAGACACCCATAAATTCTTACGAAACTAATCCCGGGTATCACGGCTGGAACCAACAGATGACTCCCAAAAATGAAAGTAGAACGAGATCCTTCGGTTTCCCGGGTATCACGGGTGGAACCAAAACGTAACTCCGAGAAAGGAAAAAAAAAGAGACCGGTCGGTTTTACAAAAGTCCCTCCAGCGCTGGCTTTGTAGATTCGTCCGGTCAACTCGTACGTTTCGAGAAGAACAGGGCGGTAGCAAACCTAGCCCGATCGAGAAATGGGTTTAAAGTTATCAATCTATCAAACGAATAATCTCGGATGATCGAGCAACCAAGTTTCGCTTCTGCATTAACCTCGTATTCGAGTGGAAATTGGATCCTGTGTGGACCGTGGATGCAGTGATTGGCCGAAGACGAAATGCCATGGGTCCCTCACAGAGCCAACACGAAGGTCAGGAGATTGATAAGTTGTTATTTTTTGGTCCATTTTTTTCTTTATGGATGCAGGTAGGGTAGCACGGTGTGTGCTCCTCTCTTTACAGTAGAGTAAGTAATAGGAAGTTAAGGAAAAAACTTACTTGCCATATACTTTATATTAGTAGTATTTAATAACCTTAAAGAAAGTATAGTAATAGTATTAAGGCTATATTTAATAACTATATTTATCATATAGTATATATATCTAATAAAGAACTTAACTTAATAGAAGTACTTAGTTTAATAATATTTTTATTTAAATAAAAAAAAACATAATAATATTAGTCGTTTTATATATTAGTTAACCCTTATAACCTACATAATAGGAAGGTTACATATGTTTTTTCTCGTCTGCATTTATCAATTAATCCATCCTAGATCCTTGCAGCATTATCCGCAATGGTACATCTCTCTCTCCCTGTACCCTTACGGCTGGTGATTGCGCCGTTATCGGAGTCATCACAGATTGTAAGGATCTCGGACAGGGCTTGTCTCTCGCTCACTCTTCTCTTTTTGACCCTTCTCACACTTCTAGCTTGGTTTCGACTCTGTAGTCACAGAAGCGCCAGTGTTGAACACCATGCGGTCAAGCAGCCAACCCAGTGTCCGCGAGGCATCGCACCTTAAAATGGTAAGTAATAGCATACAATCCATTGCAGAATGTCACGGCCGGAACACAGATTGACATTGGTTCAGACCCAGAGGGTCAAGGATATATTCCGCAAGTTCTTTGCATTTATACACCTTCTCTTTTCTTTGGGCTACACAAAGCTCGATGCTCTTCTCATCGCTGCTGGCACCTTCTTCGCGATCGCCTCGGGCATTCCGTTTCCCCTCCTGGGAATCGTCTTCGGTGAATTGATCAACGACCTCAATACTACAACCTGCTCCGAAACGGCGTCGGCGTCGGCATCGGCGTCGAATGATGTCACGAATGGTGTGCGAAAAAAGGTGCTCTACGTTATCTACATCACCATTGCCAACTTCTGCTTCATCTACATCCACTGCAGCTGCTGGAGTTACGCCAGCGAGCGCATCGCTCGACGATACCGCCGACGCTATTTCCAGAGCATCATCAGACAAGAAACGGCCTATATTGAAGGACTTCCCTCTGGCGACGTTATATCACGGCTGGTGCGTGACATTGAAGTGGTGCAGTCTGGTACCTCTGAAAAGGTTGGTATTCTCATCTCCACTGTCTCATACTTCGTCACGTCGTACATCGTTGCCTTTATGAAAGCCCCCAAGATTGCGGGCATGCTGGTCTCAGTAGTGCCCTGCTACTTCCTCATGTCGTACGTCGGAGGTTATTTCATCAAGAGATACGCGACTCGCATCAATAACCACGTCGACGCTGCCACCGCTATCGCCTCCTCCAGTCTGTCGCATCTTCCACTCGTGTATGCCTTTAGCTCCGGTGATCGTCTGATCAGGTTGTTCTCTGATCACCTTCTTGAGTCACGCAAAGACGCCCTCAAGAAGGCTGGCACGCACGCAGTGCAACTTGGTCTTCTGTACTTTATCGCGTACAGCTCCAACGCTTTAGCCTTCTGGGCTGGCTCTCGTCAGATAGCCGAAGCTGTTGAATCCAATCAAGGTGGCGTGTCTGTCGGTGCAGTTTACACTGTCATTTTCGTCTTGATCGACGCGTCTTTTATTCTCAGCCAGGTGGCGCCGTTCATTCACATGTTTGCTGCTGCCGCTGGCGCTTCTGATCGCCTACAATCAGTCATCAACAGGGACTCTCTCATTGACGGTACGTCAGGAGAGGGCGACACATACGCTCCCTTTGGTGAGGAAGACATCGTCTTTCGTGACGTGCACTTCTCCTATCCTTCCCGCCCCGATACACTTGTATTGAATGGATTCAATCTGGCGATCCCTCCCCGACAACATACAGCGATTGTGGGACCATCTGGAGGCGGCAAGTCCACTGTACTATCTCTCCTAGAGCGCTTCTACGATCCGGCATCCGGACAGTTGCTGATCGGCAGCCAACGCTTCCAGGACTTGAACGTTAAGTACCTCCGAGGCAGTATCGGCTATGTACAGCAAGAGCCGACATTATTCGATCGCTCCATCCTTGAAAATATTGCCGATGGGTTGGCAAACTCGTCTAACGAGAGTTACAAGGATCTGACTTCCGTGGTCTTGGGTTCCGCTCTGGCTGATCTCGCAGCAAGCATACGCAACGGCATGCCAGCAAACGAAGCTATTCGTTCACATGACCACAGGGTGGCCAGAATAGTTGATTTGGTTCGACAGGCGGCGGCGAGTTCAAATGCGTTAACATTCATCGAAACAATGGCGCATGGCCTAGCCACAATCACAGGGCCTGCCGGCAGTCAACTCAGCGGTGGGCAGAAACAGCGAATTGCTTTAGCACGCGCTTTAGTTCGTGATCCCTCAATCCTGATCCTTGACGAGGCCACGGCAGCCTTGGATTCGACCAGCGAAATGCTGATTCAAGACGCGCTGGCCAAGCTACAAGATCGTGTTACCATGGTATCGATAGCTCATCGACTTGCCACTGCCAAAGATGCCAACAAGATTGTGGTCGTCGATAAAGGCAAAGTGGTTGAGCAAGGTCCCCACGCTGAACTGGTTGCCAAAGGTGGCGTTTATGCCAAAATGGTCCAGTCCCAGAACCTCGAGACGCTGGAAATGCCAGTCATGTCTGAGGATACTGTGAGCCCCTATAAGAGTTCTATCCACTGTGAGTTGCCTGATCTCAGAAGCAAGGAAATGCCGGTCCAGGAGAGCGTTCGCAAGACCTCTGGCGAGGAAACCAAAACGCGAACTGGCTCAGATGACACGGTAGAGGAGCCGGACAACTTGAATCCTCCTAGGTGGCTCACCGCCAAATTCATGTTCGCATTGGTCCGTCCTAATATCGGTTATCTTATCCTCGGTCTTTCTGCGTCCGTCATAATTGGTGGTAGTTACATTGCGGAGGCTGTCATCTTTGGCCACACTGTCAGCAGCCTGAGCCCTTGTGGAGGAGCAGATAATATCCGCCACGGAGGTCACCTGTATGGACTTCTGTTCTTCATCATGGCTCTGGTAGAGTTCTCGGCGAACGTCGTCGGTGGATGTGCGTTTGGCTGGGCAGCCGAAAAGATTCTGACCCGGGTTCGAATCCTCTCTCTCAAATCTCTCTTGAGTCAGACCTTAGGATGGCATGTTATGGGTGATCGCACCCCTGGAACTTTGATCAGTTACATCATTAGCGATGCCAGTGCGCTGAGCAACATCACTGGCTCCACCGTTGGCCTTGTTCTCGCTGCCGCTGTCAATTTAGTTGCTGGGCTCGTCGTCTCTTTCGCCATTGCTTGGAAGATTGCCATCGTCCTGGCCCCGTGCATTCCTGTCCTCCTCGCTTCAGGCATAATGAAACTACGGACGCAAGCAAAGTTCGCTGAGAGACATCAGAAGGCATTTGCCCAGGCAACTTCGATCACTGTCGAGGCCGTCGACAACATTCGGATAGTGTCGGCTTTCTCGCTGGAGACCCAGTCAAACGTTCGATATGAGCATGCATTGCGAGAACCATATCAGGAGACGCTGCGTTCAATTGCATATGGCAACGTCTTCTTGGCTCTTGCTTTCAGTATTAGTAACCTTGTGTATGCCCTGGCTTATTGGTGGGGTACTCGACAGGTGGTGGCTGGTCTTTATTCTCAGACCCAATTCTTCATTATTCTGCCTGCCCTCCTCTTCAGTACCCAATCATGTAGTCAGATGTTCGCTCTTGCACCTGACATTTCCAAGGCGGGGCTTGCGGCATCTAATATTCACAAGCTACTCACCACAGACTCGGCAGATGACGAGCTGAACCCTCAGAGCTGCGGCCAGAAAGCCGGCAACTACAAGTTGCTTCTTTCTGAAAAGCTCTATGACACAGAGGCGGCGGGCTCGAGCGTTCCACTTTCATCTCGTGAGGGCATGTCCATCCAGTTGCGAGACGTACACTTCGAGTACCCATCACGACCTGGGCATCCAGTCCTCTGCGGCGTTAGCTTGAACATTCAGCCGGGTCAATTCTGCGCCCTGGCTGGCCCAAGTGGTTCAGGCAAGTCCACCATCTTCACAATGCTGGAGCGATTTTACCGCCCTAATCGTGGAGCTGTGGTCATGGACGGGACCGATATTACACGCCAACTTGGAACCGAATTTCGGGACGACATAGCGCTTGTTCCCCAAGAAAATGTGCTTTTCGAAGGTTCCGTCGCCTTCAATCTTGGCCTGGGTGCTCGACCCGGTTATCAGCCAAGCCAGGAGGAGATGGAAGAAGCTTGTCGCGCGGCCAGTATTCACGATGTGATTATGAGCTTGCCCCAAGGCTACCAGACGCTGTGCACCCATGATGGCAAGCAGTTCTCCGGTGGCCAGCGTCAGCGACTATCAATCGCGCGTGCTCTGCTGCGTCATCCACGCCTGTTGTTGCTCGACGAGTCTACTAGTGCATTGGATGGCGAGTCTGAGAGGCGAATCCAAGATGCACTTATGGCATTGAAAGGTCGCACAACCATCATCGCCATTGCACATCGCCTGAATACTATTCAGCATGCAGACTGCATCTTCTTGATTGAAGGAGGCCAGTGTGTGGAGCAGGGCACTCATCATGAGCTCATTGAACGCAGCGAAACATACCGCTCAAGCGTCATCCAACAATCCATCCAATCCTAGATCCACAATTATAACAGTTATTTTCGTAGAAGCCACTGGCTGCGCGACCCTTTAGCGTAGGATTTTGTATTTACTATAGATCAATGCATTAATCTTATCGCTGATATTAAAATAGAAGCGGAAGCTGAAGTCGTGATCTGCTGAAAAGCCGAGGACCGGCATGTATGTGTCCATATGGTGACACAGCCGTTGAGGTCTTACATTCACTTTGCTCGGGTAGGGTCTAGAGACCGACCCCCATGCTTTCCTTTCCACCGTAGGTGCCTGTGCATTAAGCATGGGGGGTAGACTGACTAGGTAAAGTGTTACGACCCTAGCGGTTACTTCACGTGAGCCCCATTATTGTTCCCAATCACAGGAATAGACCCACTCTCTCAAATTAGACCGACCTTCCAAACAGTTCAGTCTACTAATAAGATAAGGACTAAAGACTCTTTTTTAATAATCTATCTAGACTAATATATAAATATTACCTGTTTATAAGAGATTAATTCTACTTTATTATTAATCCTTATTATAATCTTAAGTATATAAATTATATTTATTAATACTTTTATAGATTTTAGCTTATTAGCTATTAATAAAACTTCTTTATATTAATTAAGCCTAATATATATTAAATTTACTATTAAGAGATATAATACTTTAATAATACTTAATATATACCTTATATAATCTGCTAATAATAAACCTAATATAGCTTAGTTTAATATAAGTAGATTTAATTATTATATAAAGAGGCAGGTAATTAAGGAATAAACTAAATGCCTTAGTTTTATATCTAGCCTTATTAAAAAATAAATTACTTTTTTAATTAAATTATCTCTTTTTATTATATTAATAATACTTATAATATATTATTTTATTTTATTATATTAATAATACTTATAATATATTATTACTTTTTATAATTATTATTATAAAATTACTAGTTAATATATATTATAATAATAAAATAATTATTTTATTTAATTAAAATAATAAATATATTAATTAAAAGCCTTAAATTAAGATTTATTTTAATATAAAAATATATTAATTTTAACTTTTAAAACTTTAAAATTTTATAATATATAACTTATAACTTTAAAATATATATTATTATAATTATTAAACTTTTAAAAAAGAAAAAGAATTTTATTATTAATAAACTTATTAAGTTATAAAAAATAATATATAAAAAGTAAATTTTTTAATAAAAAATAAACTTTTTATTTTTTTAAATAATAATAATTTTATATTCTTTTTTTAAAAAAAAATTAAAAAGAAATTTTATTTAAATTTAATATTTATATTATTATTATTATTTTTTTTTAAGTTTATAAACTAGCCTTAAAAGGTATATTTAAGTATTTCTAGAATTTAATATAATTTAAATATTTATTACCTATATAGCTAATAAAGCTTTATTAAGTTAAATTATTATAATTAGCTGCTTTAATTATAGCCTAAACCTAGCTATATATATACTAACTGAAATGCCTTGCTTATTAGCTAGCCCTAACCTTCTTTTTATAACCTAGCTAAAAGGCTAAGATACTTTACATTAGTTTTTAGTATTACAGACCACGGCTATAATTATAAAGCAAGGCGAGGAGGAAGTAAAACCTTAGAGACTAGGAAAGTAAAAGAAATATATAAAGTTTTAAATAAGTTTAGTTACTTAAAGTTAAAGATATTTAGTATTAGTAATAAAAAGAGAATTAAATAAGGTAATAAATAAATTATATAACTAAATAAGTAAATTAATTATAATAATAATATATTATTAATATAAATAAAAGAGTTTTTAAAATATATTATATTTTAAATATTTATTATATTCTTATTATTAGTTATTTAACTTAATTTTTTTTAATTATAATTATTATTAATAATAATTCTTTTCCCTTTTTACCTTTAGCCTTATATAAGGCTATTAAGCTTTTTAGCTTTTTTATTAATAATTTAAATAATAAAACCCTTATAGCAAGCTATTATTATTAAAATTAAAATTAAATATAGTTTATCTGCCTTAATACTATAATTATTACCTTAACTAAGTAATATAAATACTAAATCTTAATAGCTAAATTAACCTTTTTTCTTTAACTTATTTAAAGGACTATACCTTAATTAACCTTTATAATATATTATACCTAATTTATTTATTATAAAATATATTTTTTAAGTTAACCTTCCCTTTTAACCTTTTATATTAATAAATTAATAGCTATATTACCTTAATACTTATTATATAAAGTAGCTTATAGTTATATAATTATATTTATTATAAAATTAATTATAATTTTAATTTAGCTATTAGGCTTACTTTAAAAGTAATTAATAAAAAAGAACTTTATACTTTATATATAATTAATATTAGTATTATAAAAAACTTCTTATTAAAAAATAAATTTAAATTTATTAAAGTAAAATTTATAAAAAAGCAGTAATTTAAACTAGGAAATATTAATTACTAATAGTATTATAATACTAATTTATATTAACCTATAGCTTAATTAGGGCTATTATATAGTTAATTATAATTTTATTAATATAATTAAATTTGCCTTAAAATAAGCTATAAGTAAAAATAATTATATATTATATATAATTATTATAATTATTAAGAAAAACTTTTTCTAAAAAAGAAGTTTAACTTAATTAAAAATAATTATTTTTTATTATAGCCTAATTTAAATAATTAAGTATATAAATTTAAATTAACCTTAATTAATTAAATATATATAAAAAGGCATATAGTTAATTAACCTTATATATAAATAAAATTTAAAAAAAAATTAATAATTTAAATTAAAAATATTTCAAATATATAATAAATATATTTCCTAGCTTAAATTACTGCTTTTTTACTAATTTTACTTTATTTATTTTTAAATATAAGGTTAATTAGTTATATGCCCTATTATATATATTTAATTAATTAAACTAGTTATAACTTTAGGTTAGTTTAACTTTTACTAACTAACTTATATAAAACCTAATATAATTCCTTTTAATTTCTAAACCCTGCATTTACCTTATATTTATCCTAAAACTTTATATATTGTGACGGTTGTGGCAAGCATTCCAGGGTAAGAGGTCTAAGCTTCGTTAGTAGGGGCCAGATGGATATCTACGGTAACAAGGTATAAAAGGGTAATATCCCTTTAGGACTAAAGACTTTCCTTATGCTTTTTAAGAGGCTTCTTTAGACTTAATTCTTATTCTTTTTTTTTTTTTCTTTATATTTAATACTATTAAACTAATTATTTAATTCTCTATCTTATAATAAAGACCCTATCTTAATTAAACCTAACTAGCAGTCTATACTTAGCTTGCAGTTAAGAAGTATTAGAAGATATTATCTTATATAGTCTTTTCTTTATTATTGCTCTTTACCTTTAAATTAGTCCTTAAAACCTGGAAAATCTACTTTATTAATATAGTTAGTCTCTAAAGGGACTTTAGAATAACCTAATTATTTAAAGAGGAGGCACTTCTATACTGCCTAAACTATAGATTATAATAATTAAAGAGAAAGGAAATATACTAGATAAAGAATAGGCAAAAGGCCAAGATAAATAACAAAACCGCTTATAGAAGCAACAGGAGGCAATAAATCCCTTAGTTACTAAGCTAAAAGCAGTAAAACTAAATAGCTTATATATATAAAAAGTAATATTAGAATTGCAGAGCTGGTATTATTTTATAATAATTCCCTATACTAAGGCAGTGCTAGAATCTGCTATATAAAGAAATCTAGCCTTAACCTGGCAGGAGAATATTAAGATTATATTATATATTATAGATTATAATAGACCTAGTATAGCCTAGGATTAACTAAACTTAAAAACTAGCATTAGGGCGCTTACTAAGCTACTTAAGTATAGATTACTTAAAAAGGTTACTTTTATAATAACCGAACCTGCCAATATCCTAGTAAAATAGTCCGAAATCCTATAGAATTAACTAATTAGTTAGATTTTAAAGACTTTAGTATAAGATATTCTTATATTTATTATATTCTAGACTATTATAAGGAACCTAGTAGTTATAATAACGGCTGGCATAATTATCTTAATAAAGATAAATAAAAGGGATACCTATAGCTCCTTATAATTATTCCCCTATCTAGAAAAGACCTTACTAAAGCACCCTATATTAATTAATTAATTAATACTTACTATAATAAGCTTTACTAATACTTCCTTATCCTCTAATAATATAAGGACTGCATTTATTAAGCTAGTAACCTAGTCAAACCGACCTCAGGAAGTAATAATGGCCCTAGCTATAATAGCTAGCTAGCTCCAGGATCTTATTATGGCTATCTGTAAGTATAAGCCCTATACTATAGTTAACTAAATGACTCTATATATAGCTATCTTTAATAGTAAGGATATTTTAAAATATCTTTATCTCTTTAAATGCTATATAGATAATACTAATATGCCTAAGGGGAAACGCGCTATAATGCTAGAGATATGCATTATTCTAACTCTTATAGAAGATATTTATTAAGCCTATAAAGGGTATAACTAAGAGGAAGCTAAGAAAAACCTTAAGGAAATCTTTATTACTAAAGATAATACTACCTCTAATAGCCCTAAAGCCAGGCTTAAGAGGCTTAACTAGGAATAACTTCTTAAGGATTACCCCTAAATAATTAAATAGTTAACCTAATACTAGTTTGAGTTTAGAAAGCTAGATACTAACTATAAAGAGCAAACCACTTAGTTAGAAAACGTTCTTAATGCTATCCACTAAGAAGTCCTAAATAAGGTTGCCTTATAATATAAAAAGACTTAAGATAAGATAAAAACAATACCTTATAAGGATCTGACCTAAATAATTAGATTAACTACTAATAATAAGATAGCTAAAGCCAAGAATTACTATTATCTTAAAGATATTAAGGATATCTTTAAGATCTAAAAACCTAAGCCTGCTAAAAACCCCTTTAAGGTTATCTTTAAGAAGGACTTAAAGCTAGCTAGGGAACTTAATATTAATAA